CAGATACTCAAAAGGTCATTTGGATCGGTGGCTTGTAGGAAGTGGGGTGTGATCCCAACCTGAGCATTGGATGTATGAAGCAGGAATTTCGTGCTGCTGTGTGTTTGCGTGTTTCATAGGTCAGAAAATGACTTTTTGTAAGTGAATCTGTTCCGCTGAGCTCAAGTAGAAGTGTTGGTACACGAAGTTTAATAATGAGACCTTTTAAATAATTAACTCTTGTTCAGCTTTAAACGAATCTCAGCTGTGTCGACTCCCAAACTCACCCAAACCTTTTGTTTCGTTTAGCTTCTGAGCAGCGAACACACGCTAACACGCTAGCATAGCTTCTCTGCACGCTAGCTGCTAGCTGTAGCTTCATCTTTGATGCACCAGAACCATTTCCTGTGTTTTTAGCAGTGATGGGGATCTTAGCAACACTGATTCAACGTGTTTTTGTTTGTTACTACGCCCTCCTTTTGTCAGAAGTGTTTGTCAGCCATACACCCCCACCCCCACCAACTGTATCCCACATGAAAGCAGTAAACACCCGTCTGTGGATGTCAGCGGTGTGTTATTAGCATCGGCAGACTCCAGAGTGTCTGCTGCACTGACGCCTCCCACGGCCCTCTTTACACGAACTCTGCATGTGCGATAGCTGGGTGCAACATGTATCTGCTGTCTGACTCACAGCAGACAGCACCATCAGCACAAACGTGCACAAAAAAGGAATTGTTGTCTAAAAGCTTCTTCTCAGGTCCTGAGCGTACTGTACTTCATATAATCTACATTTAATTTACCAATAAGGACCAAAGTGGAGCTCCTCCAACTCGTATGGCAGCAAGGGCTCGAAGTTGTCAACTCAGTAAATGTGGATCCTTTACTGGCTGAGTGATTAGGGTTTAAGTCTTGATCTGCAGGTTGTTTTTTAAAGCTCCCAATAAACAAACAAACAAACAAACAAAAGTTGAGCAAGTAAAAACAACTATTTAGAAATTTGGAAAGTGAAAAAACATCAAATAAAGCAGCAGATTTGTCTCCTGGAGAGCTGGGGTTGCTGCAGAACAGTCAGGTGGTCATAATGTTTCGCTTGCATGAACCACTGAACAGATCTCAAGTAAACTTAAGAAGAAAATTGGATAAAAAGCTAAAAGTTTAAAGTCTGCCTAAGTCAAGATGGCCGCCACGCCGACTGACCTGAGAAAACACAACAAAGGCTCCGCCTCCGATTCACTTTTCAGACGTTGAGTTAAAAACTGGGCGTGAGTCGTCCCTGACCCAAACACACGAGACTCCACACATAAAACACTTTTCAAACCCAAAGCATCTTGAAATGGGAGGCCTGTCTTACTTGTGCCTAAAACAGATCAGCTGATTCCGCCGTCGTTCCTTCTCCAGCAGATCCGGTTTTGCCGAGTTCTCGTTCCCACCCGTTTCTCTGAATAAACACGTTAGACATAACAGACTCGATCCTGCGTCAGAGACGGGCGAGTTTTATGGTCGTGCTGTTTTATTCGTAGGAAAACGAAAACAAAAGGCTTCATTTCCTCCTGCAGGTTCAAACAGGTTCAGTCAAACGTCTGCTAACTTTACCGTCACAAAATTCCCTGGAAGTCGTCCTTTCCCTTCCCTCTCCCAATAATCCGCTGGCTGTCTCTGCAGCTGCTTAGCTCCTAAATCCTAAAGAGTTGAATTTATATTCAGTTGAAACTGACAAGGATGCACGTCTGATGTTGACGCAGCGTTTCAGTAACAGCCATAAGGTTTAAGTGTCTTTCTGGGAAAAAGACCTGGGCTGGACTGAGCATCCTCCCAGACTGCAGCCGGAGACGGACCGGATCCACGGCCTGGGGTCTCTCTGTGCATGCGTGGGGGTTCTCTCCCGGTTTTCCGGCTTCCTCCCACAGTCCAAAAACATGACTGTCAGGTTATTTGGTTTGTCTAAATTGTCCTTAGGTGTGTGTGAGCTTGGTTGTTTGTCCCGTGTGTCTCCGTGTTGCCCTGTGATGTCCAGCGTGTACCCCGCCTGCTTGCCCAAAGTCAGCTGGCACCGCCCCCCCGTGACCCTGCGTGGGCAAGCGTGTCAGGATGGATGGATGGATATAGATGCACCAAAGCAGGAGCAGGAAACAGGGCAGGGTGTTTCCGAACAAAACTACTAGGAATGTTTTCTCATTTCAATGTTGGATGTTTTATTATTTATGTGTTAACTTAAAACCATGAAATGTTTCCCAGTTTTAATTCAGTGTGCTACCGTACAGCAGAGCCACGAGCTGTTAGCTTCAAACACAGAGAAGACAGAGACGTACATCGCTGATGATGTCACAGGAGGATTCGGCCTGAGCCTCGACTTCATGGTGGTCGTTCCTCCTCACGCTGATACCTGAGAACTGTGAAATTAAAGGATTCTGCTCTAAAAACAACAATAACAACAGCAACAACAACAATAATTAAAGCTGCAAGCAGCGTCGTCCGGCCCTCGCAGCTCCGCGCCGCTCCGGTCTGGCCGGCAGTCTGGTGCACCCGGGCACGTCCGCTGAACATAAACATCGACCACCCCGACACCAGAAACCGCGAACGGTCTCCTCGTTTGCACCTCACCCTGACTCAGCATCTCCTCTGAGCTCACCATTAAATTACACGTCTCACCACTAGGGCATACTCTATCTTTACCACACTGGTGGTGTGATGACACAGACCAAGTTTAATGCTATTCTGATCACGTTTTTTGAAGTCATTGAAGGTTAAAGTTATCTAGGGGGCGCTGTGACCAACTACAGAAAAATCCCATTGAGGTCAGCTTTGGTTGACAAAGATAGTTTTCTGTTATTTTGGCATAAATCAGACGTGTGTGTTATCTAGAGCCAGAGAGCCGAAAGGGGGTGGAGCTACAGGGGTTTGAACCAACAACCACATCAATGTGTTTGGTGCAGTCATATGATGACATAAACCAAGTTTAATGCCATTGTGACCTTGTATTAGGAAGTAATTAACTCTTAATCTTATCTAGGGGGCGCTGTGACCAATTACATAAAAATCCCATTGAGGTCCTCTTAGGAAGTCAAAGATGCTTTTGTGGTAGTTTGGCATCAATCAGACTTTGTGTGTGCTTTCTAGAGCCAGTGAGCTGAAAGGGGGCGGAGTTAAAAGGATTAGAACCAACAACCACATCAATGTGTTTGGTGCAGTCACGTGATGTCACAAGCCAAGCATAATGCCATTCTGACCTTGTCTTTAGAAGTTAATAAAGTTTGAACCCATCTAGGGGGCGCTGTGACCATTTACAACTAAATCCCATAGAGGTCATCTTTGGTCATCAAAGACGGTTTCCTGTTAATTTGGCATCAATCAAACGTCGCATGGGTCATCTAGAGACAAAAGGCTGTAAGTGGGCGGAGTTAAAGTGATTTGAACGAGTGAACACATACAGGTGTTGATTGCAGTTGTGTGATGACTCCCACCATGTTTGATATAGTTTGGAGCTTTTTTGCAGAAGTTACAAAGGTTTTATTGAATCTAGGGGGCGCTGTCCCAAATTTAGGAAATATTCCATGAAGAAGTTTGTAGGGTGATAACAGTCATTTGTGTGCAGTTTGGTGTGAATTGCAGCATGCATGTGTTATTCAGGGCTTAACAACTGTCAGGGGGCGGAGCTAAAGCGATATCAACCAATGACCACAGGATTGTGTTGGGTGCCTTTGTGTGATGACACATAGCAAGTTTGGTGCAGTTACAATCTCATCTGTACGAGTTATTACAGTTTTAAAGGTATGTAGGGGGCGCTGTGGTGAAATTATACAACGTTTGTGCCTCGTTGGCTAAAGGGCATGATTGGTGATTGCCATGTTCAGTCTCGGGCAGATCGGAGGCTGTTTGTGGAAGTTACAGTCAAACGTAAGGTCACGGCGTCACGCCAGAATTCGCCATGGCATCAAAGCCCCTCCCTTTCTGGAAAGCTATCAGATCTGAATGGTCATTACAACATCATGAAGAAGTGCATGGCCTTAGTGTCATGTTGACTAAATTAGAGGGGACAAATATGGGCATTTCACCATAAAACAATTGACTTCCAGTTGTCAGGGGGCGGGGCTTAGGTGATGTCAGCTTTCCACATTGTCATTGTCTTGAGATGTGGTCAGTGATCACACATACAAAGTTTAATATAGATCTGATCATGCACATGGGACTTGTTACGTCAAGTAATGTAATGGCGAAAGGTCAAAGTTTGAGGCTTAGCCACGCCCACACCTTTCAACTTTTGAAAAATCTGACGGTTGAATTTCTTCCCCTATGTCTTAAGAGTATATAGCAGAAGTGTGAAGGCGATTGGTGAAAAGGACGACGGGGCATCACGCTCCAAACTACGTGTGCGAAAACCACTAAATTGAGTACTTGGACCGAAATGGTCGACCTCCTGTGCGACTTTGCGCTTGCCTCCAAGAGACTTTTTTGTAGGTCCTGAGACCCCACATTAGTGTACCAAATTTCGTAATCCTCAGTCAAAGCATGGCATGGGGCTGGCAATTTTAATGGTCCTAGGGGGCGCTATTTAAGAAAATAGGCCACGCCCAGAGGATTTTCACATCAGATTTTTTGGAGGGCCGGACTAGGATCACTCACCAAAAGTTTTGTGGCGATATCTTTAGAAATGACGAAATGGGAGGCAAAAGTATGGCCACTGCAGTACGCCTGACTTCGCCGTGCCGCCAGAGCTTTTGAAAACTCCCATAAAGTGACGTCACACAACCCCCACTTGTCTTGAGTTACCAGCTACAAATTTGTGGTGATTAAGTGAAATGGGGCGATTTGGGACCTATCACAGTAAAACTTGACCTTTTTGGTCCTGAGGGGGCGGGATTTGTGTGATGTCATCATCCGACCATTCAGTTTAGTTTGTGGCTGGAAGTGGAATGACCACAGAAATTTTTGTAACTCTATTCAAGTATGAAGTTATATTCATTTATATATTTTGGCGAGTAGTTGAAATTCGAGGCCTGGCCACGCCCCCTCAGCATATACGAAAAGTCAGTTTTATTTTTTTTTCTATTTGATCGCCCATCCCTTCTGAGCAATTTCCCACAACTTTCGAGACGATCATGCGAAAATTGATCGAGTAAATCAATCAGAAGCGGACCCTAGAAACGGCCAAAGCATGGTCAAAATCACCACTTCAAACCAAAATGGCCGATTTCCTGTTTGACGTTGACCATGGTTGCAAGAGGCTTTTCTGTGCGAACTGTTGAGTACCACAAGTGTACAAAATTTCATAACTGTACGACAAACTAAGGTTTATGGAGGGGGGAATTTTTCACATTCTAGGGGGCGCTGTGGAGCTAGTTTTATTGTGATTTTTTTGGGACCTTTAAATACAAACTGTTACACTACGCCTGACATGTGTGCAGAAATTCCTGAGTTTTCGGGAATGCTAAGGCCTCCAGAAAGCCAATTTTCATGGCGGAAGAAAAATAAACAGAGCAGATACAACAGGCCTCCGCAGCTTTGCTGCTCGGGCCTAATGATAATAATCATAATAGACTTTTAACTACAGATTAAATTTAAACCTTTTCAATTTCCACCGTCAAACAAACTGAACCAAATGAAAAATAGTTCAAATCGGCACAAATTTGAAGTTATTTCAAAGTCAGACAGAAAATATTTGATTTAAAAATCGTCTAAGAACTGAAACAGAACGTCCACAACTTCAGATGATCTGTTGTGTGAGATGTGACCGAAGCCCGTCGGAAACAGGAAGCGTGTTCTCCGGGTCCGGCGTCCAGCTCCGTACCAAACGTGAGTGAGGAGTCCTGGATCAGTAGATGGTTCTCATGCTCTGTGTGTCTGACGCTGGAGGCGTGTGGTGCATCTGGGCCGGCTGTAGCGAACCTAAGTGGACACCCTGCTGCTGCTGCTGCGGGTGCTGCTGGTACCAGTTCTGGTGGGAAAAGTCGTCCATGTACGCAGGCGAGGATCGGATCGGAGGCGGGCAGCAAGCCTGTCCTCTGATGCCCAGGTCAAGCATCTCATTACCTTTCATGTCGCGGCTGTTGCTGTCGATGTTGTTGTTGTTGTTGTTTTTGTTGTTGTCCCACACAGACGGGGACGGGGGGGAGTTGCAGGCCATGGAGTCGCTGGCCTCAGGGCTGTTCTCAGCATTCATCTCTCCCAGCGGAAACTCGCCGTTCTTGTAGAGCTTCTTGAACTTGGAGCGCCGGTTCTGGAACCAAATTTTCACCTGAGAAAGACAAAAGAACGACATATTTTAACGGTTATTTAGAAGAACGCAGTTATTTCAGCGTGACCCAGAACTGAAGAACCGTCCAGAGGCCCAGAGTCGCAGGATGTGTGCGCTGAACGAACCAGTCTCCTTGCTGCAGTTTGGTTTCATTTAGAAAGCTTCTTACGCCGGTTCTGTTCTGGTGTTCAACCCAAGGCTTGTAACCAGTTTGGGGTTTTGTAAAGGACGAGGTGAACAACCTGCTCCTCAGGTTCTGCCGTCGTGTCTCGCTGCAACATGATTCATAAATCCTGTCAGCACAGGAAAACCAAACAGACGCACGAGCACCAAACCAAAACACCATCTATAAAACCGTCTCGCTCCCAGGAACGTTGTTTTGATTCCAGCTCTAATCCCGTTGGTCCCGTTTAGACCCGAACACCAGACCACAGCGGTTCCTCTGTCTCAGACTGAACGGCTTCTGGAGGGTTGGACCTAACCTCATCCATTCTCCAGCCCCTCTTCGGGTGATTAAATTCATCTGATTGGCCATTCTGAAGCTCAAAAACCCAACGTTTCTCCCAGTCTTTGAACTCATCATTGCTACTGTAATGAACTGAATCTGTCGTGAAGGTTTTTACTGACAGAATCCTTATTTCTGTGTTAAAAACTCATTTTGGTGATAAAAGAATCAGATTCAGACAGAAGTCAAGTCCGAGTCAGCAGGTGAACAAGTCAGAAGTCAGTATCGACCCTCAGTCCAAGTCTGGTCGGGGCCTAAAAACAACGACTTTTAAGTTACAAGGAAATGAAATACTGACGTGGAGTTCATTTGTACCGAGTCATCAGTGACGTCAGCTACTTGAAAACGACTTGAATCTGATCGTGTCAGCGACGCAGGAAGCTGCCGCTGACATGTCAGCTTTCACTGCTTCAGTGTCTGAAACTGCAATGAAGCCATTCCACCTTAACAGATGCCTCGCGTCTGTGGAATATAAACCAGCTTCATCAGACAGGTGTTAGCTCACCTGCGTCTGCGTCAGGCCCAGCTGTGCAGCCAGCTCGGCCCGCTCCGGCAGAGCCAGGTACTGGGCCGACTGGAACCGCCGCTGCAGGACCGCCAGCTGGTAGCTCGAATAGATGGTCCGAGGCTTTCGCACCTTCTTGGGTTTCCCGTTGACCAGACGAACCTCCAGCTCCGGTTCCTCTTTCACTGTGTGGAAGAAGATGGAAAACAGCTGTGACCTCTGACCTTTGTCACACAACTTAGTGTTTTTAGAAGATCTCTGTTTGGAAAGATTTGGGTAGGGAAGTCCCACAGCCTTCACAAACCATCCAACAAACCTTCAGAGGAGGCAGGGGAGGCACTGCTTCCTTTATCATCATGACAAGTAATAAGGATTGAATTTAAAATGAATGTGTCAACTCACAGCTTTATACAGGATTTAATCACTGAATTTATCAGTTTCTTGGTCAAATAAATGCAGAAGCGAGAGGAGCTGCCCCACACACACTAACTGATTCAGGTAGAGCGCATGCGCCATCTCCCTGTATCAAGTGTGTGGGGCGCTGCCCCCTGAGGCCGAGGTGAGAGCTGCCCCCGGAGGCCGAGGTGAGAGCTGCCCCTTGAGGCCGAGGTGAGAGCTGCCCCCGGAGGTCGAGGTGAGCGCTGTCCCTTAAGGCGGAGGTGACAGCTGCCCCCTGAAGCGGAGGTGAGAGCTGCCCCCGGAGGCCGAGGTGAGAGCTGCCCCCGGAGGCGGAGGTGAGAGCTGCCCCCGGAGGCCGAGGTGAGAGCTGCCCCCGGAGGCCGAGGTGAGAGCTGCCCCCGGAGGCCGAGGTGAGAGCTGCCCCTTGAGGCCGAGGTGAGAGCAGCCCCCTGAGGCGGAGGTGAGAGCTGCCCCCGGAGGCCGAGGTGAGAGCTGCCCCTTAAGGCGGAGGTGACAGCTGCCCCCTGAAGCGGAGGTGAGAGCTGCCCCCGGATGTCGAGGTGAGAGCTGTTCCCGGAGGCCGAGGTGAGAGCTGCCCCCGGATGTCGAGGTGAGAGCTGCCCCTTAAGGCGGAGGTGACAGCTGCTCCCGGAGGCGGAGGTGACAGCTGCCCCCTGAAGCGGAGGTGAGAGCTGCCCCCGGAGGCCGAGGTGAGAGCTGCCCCCGGAGGCGGAGGTGAGAGCTGCCCCCGGAGGCCGAGGTGAGAGCTGCCCCCGGAGGCCGAGGTGAGAGCTGCCCCCGGAGGCCGAGGTGAGAGCTGCCCCTTGAGGCCGAGGTGAGAGCAGCCCCCTGAGGCGGAGGTGAGAGCTGCCCCCGGAGGCCGAGGTGAGAGCTGCCCCCGGAGGTCGAGGTGAGAGCTGTCCCTTAAGGCGGAGGTGACAGCTGCCCCCTGAAGCGGAGGTGAGAGCTGCCCCCGGAGGCAGAGGTGAGAGCTGTTCCCGGAGGCCGAGGTGAGAGCTGCCCCCGGATGTCGAGGTGAGAGCTGCCCCTTAAGGCGGAGGTGACAGCTGCTCCCGGAGGCGGAGGTGAGAGCTGCCCCCTGAGGCGGAGGTGAGAGCTGCTCCCGGAGGCGGAGGAGAGCTGCCCCTGGAGGTGGAGGTGAGAGCTATTTCTGTTCTCACGGAGCAGTGCCGCACACACTCATAGAAACAGGAAGTTTGCACATGCTCACTGCTGTCTGTCTTTGCATCGATGACATACATGTTTTACTTCAGATGCGCTGCACATGATGACGTTCTACAGTCTGTCTGATATATTTAATGCCTTTTTGTGACAAATTAAGTCTTTCTGAGCAGCCATAAACTTGCAGAGAAAATGCCCCCGGGGAGGCAGGCAGTGCCCTGCCCCCCTGATGGGGGCAGTGCCGAGCCCCCCTGATGGGGGCAGTGCCGAGCCCCCCTGATGGGGGCAGTGCCGAGCCCCATAGACACCGCTGCAAGCTGGCTGCTTGCCACAGGGCGGGGGTGTGGGCCGTCAGGTCTGTAAGGGTGAACTAGCTCAAGTTTGCTCTGATTAAATATTATTGACCAGGATTTTTCAGTCAGAACGGGAGATATTAGAGGATCATGTGATCGCATAGATGCTAGGTTCATGGACTGCATTAAGGGTAAGATCAAACACCATTTTTAAATGTGATGCCAACAACAATGAATACGTGTTTAAGTCAAATTTGCCCAAATATTAAATATAGTTTACTTTTCTTGTTACTGTTTTGTTCAAATATGGGGCTGATTAGATCAGAAGTTTTAAAACAACAAAATATTTTATTCATTGTCGGAAATAAAATACAAGCTTTTGGGTTCACATGTTAAGTCTGCCTCCAGGGCAGTCGGTGCCTCCCCAACCAAGATTAGTCCCTTAGATGTCACACACACTGTGTGGTGAAAACCGTCCTCCACACTTGAGCTTTCCCCGCGGGGAGCTGCAGACACGGCTGCGTTCGTGAACCAGTTGGTGGTTTCTGTTGAAATATAAAACTCTCAATAGTTCGTGTTTCCATGTCTGCGACGATCCCACGCTTTCACCATTTGGATGATTATCCCTGAGCCGCCTGCACCTTCAGTATTTCACATAACATCTCCTGTTTCTGAGCAGAGCCTTGAGACCACTCTTGCTGTCATTTGGCCCCATATGAACTAACCCAACCGCATGCAGCAGGAACGGCACAAGAAGAAGAGTCTTGAGCAGAAAACATATTTATCAAACGACAGTGGGACGGTCAGGTTTCTGGTTGGGTCGTTTGGCTCAGAATGGCTCCCCGTTGAAACGAAGATGGTGAAAGTGAGAAAAACCAGAGCGAGCTGCACAAAAGATACAACACCAAGCCCAAAGAGAAATCTGAAGGTTGATGGTTCCATTCTTGCTTATATTACCTCTTATGCCTTATTCATGGCACCTTGTAGGGTCCTGGAACCCCCCAAGGCACATTACAACACAGTTTAGCTGCGTGCACACACGCCTGTCCATGCTGGTGGTGATGAGCTACATTGTAGCCACAGCTGCCCTGCGGTGCACGGGTGGAGCTGTCAGACAGGCCCCACAGGGCCCTCCGACCACCAGCTCAAGTGTCTTGCCCAAAGACACACAACTAAGTAGGACTGAGCAGGGCTCGAACTCGCAACCCTGATACTGATCTGATTGTTCTCATTCAGATTTAACCTTTTCCAGGTCTGGCAGTTTGATGTGCCTTCTTTGATTTGAAATATTAGATGTTCAGAATTATTGTTTTATGAAGTTCACACAGAAAAACTCCAGACAACACGTGAATCTCGTTATTAAGACGTTTGCAGCAAGGCGGGTGGAAAAGAGCGACTAAATTCTTGTGTTTGTTTGTTTGTTTTGTGGGCGTGGCTCTCGGGCTTTACGTGATAAGGAACCGTGGGAGGTTGATGATTCGAGTTCCGTGGCTGGCTGACACACCGGGACACCCGTGGTGTGCTTGGCCTCGGACCCGAGCCCCCCCTGGGCCATCTCAGGAGTCAACCAGCTGTTCCAGCTGTTCAGGAGAAGTGTGCGGAGTCATGTTGGATTCAGTAAACCTGAGCTGCTCCTGCAACTCCTGAAGAACACGGAGAACTTCTCCTTCATGTTCCCCCCAACATCAGCTGATTTCAAACCTTTAGCATCCACGCGCCGCAGGATATTCGATGTTTCCAGATTTAGATTTTACTTTCAGTTGTAAAACATGTGGTTTAGGCATTTTATAAGAAGACTAAAAGAAGCCTCGAATGTCTTAAATGAGGAAATAAAACAAGAAAATAACGTCATTTCTGTGCGTAAAAGTCGTGCGTAACAGCTCCAAACGGGAAGCGTGGACACGTTCTGCGGGCAGGTTTTCTCACCTCCGTCTTGCAGCGCAGTCTGCACCTCTCTGCTGAACGACCCGTACGCGGCGTGCGTGTAGGAACAATCCGCCTTGTAGGGCCCGCCGGGACCCGTTCCGTTCAGGCTGTAGTGGTGGTACGTGTACGGGTTCAAGTGCTGGCTCGAGTACGGCTGCTGCGTTGCGTAAAGGTCCTGAGAGCCGTGGAGCGCGATCTGGCCGCTGTAGAAACCCGCATCGGTGGAGGACGACTCCGGCAGGGTCGGAGAGTCTTTGGTGAAGATGGAGCTCCCAGCCAGGGGAAGGGGGGGCTTCTTCTCCTCTAACGCGGGTGAAACCTGCCCGTTCATTTCAGACACGGTCTGGATTTTGGATGCGTTGGAACTGAGCTGTCCTCGGAGCGGAGCTGGCGTTGCCAAATTCCCCTGACGCAGCAGCCAGCCAGGCTGTCCACCGTGGCGGGCGGCGCCCAACCCAGCAAGAGCTCCTAATTACAGGGCGCGTCAAGCTGCGCCGAGCCAGGCAGGACAGAGAGGAGCGATCTCTGCCTCTCATTGGCTCTCCTGCTCCTGCCTGTGTGCCCTGGAGCCAAGACAGAGCTCACTGTCGCCTGTCTGGCTCCCTTCTCCTCCCCGCAGAAACCTCCACTAAGCCGCTCCTTGAGCCCGAACCGGCTCACGACGAGAGCAGAGAACCACCCGAAGTCAAGTTGAAACCATTAAAACAGAGTTCTGGTGGGCTTTAGCGCAGGTTCTGGGCACACACCGGGACCCCTTTACTCTTCATCAAGGCTTTAAGATGAGCCAACATGCGGGCCCCCCTTTTGGCTCCATCCGGTGGGGGTCGGGTCCTCCGGGGGGTGGGGGGGGGGGGGGGGGTGAGGACAAATGAACCTTCCTGACCAAAGTCAAAAGTTTTTATTTTATTCTATTTTAAATAGTTTAATGTGAAACCACCACAAGGTGTGTGTGTAAACTGCCTTCTGTTCAGATCTACTGTCATCAACAAGCCCACTAAGACAGTCAGAACAGAACATTTTGGTTCTGGAAAGGTGGACTTGTGGACCACCTTGGAAGAATTGCAGCTCCATCAGAAACTTTAAAATCTTCCCTTAAAAACATTTTTATAAGAACTTTTAATAAGTCAGGATCTGCTCCCTCGGGTCTCACCTGCCCCTCACGACCACGCCCACCGCTTTCCCCGATTATCCTCATCTAAACGCCGTTTGGGCGTCAGACCCTCGTCCTCCCTTCCAGTAGAAACTGTTCCGGGTTACAGGCTTGCTGCAAGGCCACCGAGCCCGTCTGCGTGATGAACCGCTCCAGCAGACACCGAGGAGGGCTGGGCACCCACTGGAGTTCCAGTTCTACAAACGGACACTAGGGGGTGCTAGAAGCAAGCCAAAACGGCCTAGTCCGGCTTTGAACCTGCGTCTGGGTCCGTTTTCATCTGCACACCTTGACAAAATAACTAAAATCTACTTCCACCTGTCTCTGTTTTAATCTAAAGTTTGTTGTCCCATTAAAACCATCTTTGGTTGTTGTCATGAAGGTCATGCTACGTGCTGATGCTAGTTAAATGTCAGGAGAGCATCTGGTACTCACGACCAACACACCTGACTTAAGGTGGTTCAAGCTCCCTGTAAAACCATTTGAAGAAAAAAATACACAAAGGTTTATATTTTTATTGGGTCTGATACACGGTAAACCCTCAGGATCTGGCAAAACCAAGTTCTCACAAATGTACATCTCAGTTTTTCCAGGAAACCCTGCTCAAACCCACCTGAGAGTTCTAGGTGCATCGGTGACCTTCAGGGCTCTCAGGGCGGGGCTGTTCTTACACATTTAAAAATAACAAGGGAGACAAGGTGGAGGGAGGGGCTTGGCTAGTTTATGTACAAACGGGTAGTGAGAGGAAGTCCCGTGGTCCCGAGCGGCCCACCGCCCCAAGGCGCCCTGTGGAGGAGATGGGGCGGTGATAATGTCGGACATTTAAAGACTCGCTCCGATGCAGATTAGAGATTCAAAAGAGTTTTTGCAGCGGAGGCTTGTGGTTGGTTTTATTCAACTTAGAAGAAGAAGGAACTTAAACTCAGGCAATCCAACCAATCACCTTTCCTCTGAGAACAAAAAGAACCAGGTGGGCTTCCCAAGTATCCATTCATGATACGTGGAGGAACTTTTAGACCTTTTGTTATTTTACAAGAGTCTCTGATGGCCAGCGCAGAAAGGAACACGGAGGGAAGACCCAGGAAAACGGGCGAGGATGTCCAACGTTACACACGGTGGAAACCAGCAGTGGAATGGGAGGAGTACAGTGCCATTAGCGGTCCATAGAGGGCGCACCGCAAGTCTCAACAACCCTGTCAGACCAGAAGGAGGAGACGGTGATGGGAGGGAGGGACTGATGGAGGAGAAAGAGCCAGTCAGGTTCTTCTTCTGTGGGGGGGCAGGGAGTCTTCTTCATCTGGACACTTGGTTTGTTGCTTTCTGGGTCGAGAGTTTGTGATTTCCTCACACTCCCCACCCCCATCCCTCCCACGCCGAGGTGAGTAAACGGAGATCAGGCTGGCCCACGCCACTCCAACCTGGAGGATGGACGGTTTCGTCCTCTCTGAAGAGAAGAAACCGACTTTAGTAGAGAAACAGATCCAGAGGCTGACACACACAACAGGCTACGAGACTCGCTAAGCTAGCAGCTGTCAGCCATGTTTAACATTCACGTCGAGGGACCATAAAAACGTATTCTACACCCCTCAGCGAACATCCTCTTTAACGACGTGTTGCTAACAGGTGCAGCAGCTCAGGCTAGCGCTAACGTGCCTCAGGAGGAGGGGCTTAGGGTTCTGCAGACAACAAAACAACAAGTAAACAACTCAACAAATTCACCCACATTTCTGCTGATGAACAAGAGCAACAAAGATCTAACTCAAATACTTTAGCCGACTAAAACCAAAACAACTCGATGACTAAATCACGACTAAAATGAAAAAGAATTTGTCACAAGAATAAAACTAAATATAAATTTCAGGCCAAATGAACACGGCCAGAGAGCCAGCCGACATTGAAACACGCTTCAAACTGTCCACGGACAGGAAAACGTCGGGTTTCGCCATCTTTGGGGTCAGGCATCGTTTGAATTTTAACGATTTTGATTCCAAATCCTCGTTTCGATTCCTGATTCAAGTGGCAGGATCCAAAAACACGACATGTTTAAAGAGCAAGTCACCCCCTGCCAGAGTATTACTCCACTCCCACTTCCTGTTTGAAAAATGCAACAAATGCTGTTGCCTAGCAGCCGAGGAGGGTGGAGCCGCTAACAAACACACACAGGCTCACAGCAACATTGTGACATCATATGGTACCAGCTAACATTCTAGGGTACCTCTTAGCCAATAGCGATGGCAGATTTAAATTCAAAGTCAGTGCAGTTTTTACCCGACAACGGCAGAACACTGACAGGTTTAAGCAGAACAATTAAATCTTAACAAAAATGCACTAAAGTGCAAAACTACTGACGACACGTGTCTGCGGCACGATTAGACACACATTTATGTAGTTTATCAGAAGTAAAAGTTGATTTGGGGGTGACTTGCTCTTTAAGTGAGCTAGCTAACCACAGGTCTGAGGTGGAGAAATATTCCCGACCTCCAACATCGCCTTCATTTAGACAAAAACACGTTCTGAAGAAAACGAAGACTTGCAGCGCAACCAGCGTGTCGTTTCCGACCACAGCAAAGGGAAGGGAAGGGAAGGAGCCTCCGGGTCGCTCCACACTTCCTGTTTGAAAACCGCGCCAAAAGCAGGGATTGCACGGCGGGCCGAGGGAGCGACGCCGACCGACAACTGGGGCGTTTTCCTTTTTACTTCTTATTCTAACGCATTGTTGATGTATCGGGTCGGGACTCGGTCTCGGGTCGGGACTCGCTAAGGATCCATTTTATCTGCTAAATAAACGGTGATCCCTGGAGTTTCCTAAATGAGAACATATGTGATGGGAGGTGGCCCTGGACCAGGTTTTCCATTTCCAGCCCTTTAGACGGAGACCTGAGGACACTTGTGGACTAAAGTGTCCACTTGCAGCTCCAGTCGGCTCAGGGTGGTCTCGCGCTCGGCCCAAACGCCACAGGCCCACTCGGCACACAGACACTCACCTTATGTCAGCTTCTTTGCTTTGTTGTAAAGCGAGTCGACCACTTTGCTCATGTTCTGAATCGTCTCCAGGGCTGCCTCGTAGGTCTTGTCCACCATCGGCTCATCAAAGATGATCAGCACACCTTCGCCTTGGTCCAGGATACCTGTCAGGTGGGAGGGACGTCAGAGATATAAAACGTATTTCTGTAAGAACAGGACTCGTTCCAAATCTGCAGACCAACCGTGAAACTTCTGATCCAGAATCATCTGCGACAGTTTCCTCTCCACGTCTCTCTGCAGGGAACACAAAGTTAGTTTGTAGGCAACCAGAACGCCGCGGGCACGGAAACGGGTCGGGCTGGTTCTAGACCAGGGCTAGGCCGGGTTTATGCCCGGAGCGTTGGGGACAAAATACCGTCCACAAGGAGGCCCGTGACGGCCAGCACAAGACCCGCGTCCTCAGCACCACACAGCACCTGCCATGACCCGACGCCGGCTCGAGTCCCGGTCTCAGCAGTAATTTCTTCTCTAGCTACACTCGTCAGTACGATGTTTTAACCCTTTAATGGTAAAATGTCTCAACTATAAGGGCTGATCTGTTTCATTTAGCCAGTGTGAGTCCATGTGAGGTGAGCGGAGTTCCACCCGCTGAGACCCGAGTCAGAGGCGAGTCACGACCAGCAGGAGCTCACCTTAGGGAGTCTGATGAGGGAGGAGATGTGTGTGATCTGTCGGGGAGACAAAAGCAGATTATTCACACAACCACGCCGAGCGGTGAGAGAAAGGACTCGGACTAGAAGGAAGAGTGTGAGTAAAGACCTGGGCCCTGGAGAAAGGCTCGATGACCCTGATGAGGTTCTGCTCCAGCAGGTTGTCGTACAGCTTGGTCAGGTGGGTGCTGATGATGGGGTCGTCCTTTAACTCGGCTTTGTACGTCGTTAGAGCCTAAAGGTGGTCGGAAGCAGACGTCTTACAGGACGAGACGACGCGACAGCAAGAGTTACAACAAGCAGTCGAGCTCCGAGGACTGACCTTCTCAAAGTCTGCGAGCGAGCGGTTCTTACTGGCTAGCGCCACACACTTCAGCGAGTCCGTCTGTGAGGACCAAACAAAGCAATCAGCTGTTGTCCACAAAGACCTTCAGTTCACAGAGAGCCGGGCACGGTTCGCCGTCTGAAGACAAAGAAGCTGCACAGCTGAAGGTCCAGAACGTCGGGGGAAAGCGCCGATCTGCTTTTTGCACCTGAACCGGAGCTACCTGCCGGAGCAGCAGGACGACGGCTGGACACCATGACTCTTCATTCCTAGGCCTGGAGCGCCGGTATCAGGCACGTTTTAGTGGTTTCTCTGCTCCAGCACACTCGATGAACTGGTTGAATCACCTGCAGCAGCTCGTCGGGCTCTGCAGAAGCACGTTAATCACCGGCTGATTGAAATCAGGTGTGTTGGAGCAGGTTACAACTAAAACATGCTGGACACCGGCCCTCCAGGCCCGGGACTCAACAGCCCTGCTGTACACCTTTACGCTACAACAGGAAGCACCGACTTAGCCCAACATGAATGTTTCTGCCCTGCGAGCAGAGACCACAGCATCCAGACAGAACCCACACAGCCAGGATCTGAACCTGCAACCTCGCTGAGCCTCCAGCACCTGAGAGGGGCAACATCTCTCCCTGCGCTCTGCTTCGGTGCCACCTACACCACCCTCTGATCCTACACCACCTCCAGATCTAAAAGTAGGGCGGCTACAGGCGTTTCAGGAGAGGGGAACCGGTACGTACAAAAGCACCGGTCACCCAAACCGGGAGCATCAAGACGGTTTTGTTCAGGAAAACATTTAAAGAAGGAAACCACTTGTTCGGACTGAAGGGTCCTACCTGTCTGCCGGCGTACCGCAGAGCTAGTTTCCCACTGATGAGGGCCTGCACGTCCTCGGGGCTGGACACAAACAAACACACTGCGTTCCTATTTGGCTACAAACACAGTTAGAACCTGTCCACGAGCCTACAACACCAAAGAGCTGCGTGACGTCCACCACTCACGCGCTGAGCATGATTTTGCAGAGCAGCATGTACTTCAGGGCTGTGATGGCGCGAGGGCTGTCGATGGAGTCGTAGCCCTCAAAGGCCTCGTAAAAGTACGAGTACGCCGTCTTCCAGTCTTTCTCTTCTGCTGCGTGAATGATCCCTGGAACCAAAACACAAACTCGTCAGCTCCGAGTCGGGCTGAGACTCGGCACGTGGGAGCACCGGGTGCTACCTGACTGCATGTCTAGAGCTGCCTGGAGTTTGGGGGGACAGTAGATGGCGTTGGCGGTGGTCCTGGCCGAGGTGAGGGCAGCGCGCGCCTTGGGCAGGTTACTGAGTGCATGGTATGTCTTGCTCTCCAGCAGCTGGACCTCCACCAGCAGGGCTTTGTCGTCCATCTTCTTGAGCTCCTGCAGCAGCTGGGATCCTGCAGATGGAAGGAGGTGGAGAGACGAGGCAGAGTGAGTGTCTGCTGTTAAACGTAGGAGCTCCATTTTAATGTCATCAGCAAACGTCCACTAGATGAAGTCTTCGGGGAATTCAGCACTCACCGAGCTGCAGAGCCTCCTGGTAGCACTTGGTGTCAAAATACAGCGAGATGAGTCGAGCCTGAGGAGGATCAGGAAGAGAGGAGATGTGTGAGCGTCAGGACTACCAGCAGAACGTTTCCTCTGTGTTCTGGAAGAAAACCGAGAGCATCTCTGTGGTTTGTCTGCCTCAACACGGACGTGGAGTTGCTACGGCTGCTCCTCCTGTTCCCTGACTGGAGGAGTGGCGACTTCAGGCCCGCTCCAAACGAATCCAGGTTCAGTCATATTTCTTATAATCTGGGTTTTTGTTCTGGTTTTGGGTCCGGTTGTAGAAAAGCTGAATGAAAGCTGTAAAAGACTAATATTCACAGCTATACAGGTGAGAAGTCACCGATCCCAGAGGTAAATGTGAACACGTTTTCTATGTCAACCCGTTTAAAACCAGAGGGATGTGTAGAACAGGTCGACAGAACCGACCCTGGGTCGGTCAGGTTGCAGACAAACCTGCAGCTTTGAAGATCACGTGTCTGAAATCCTGATTTCAGAACCGAGTGCCTGGACCTGGACTGGGACTGCTGTGGGATGGCGATGTCCCGAGTCCGGACACTGGAGCATGCATCGACCATCGTGGGCTTACAGCAGCTTCTTAACTACGCAGCCACACATTAGAATCATTTATATATGGAGCGACACTGGAGGGGGTCGCTGGGCAGTGAACATCTGCCGCCTGGCAGCATACTGGTGTTTTTTATCACCATCACTAAAGCATCTCGTTGGTTTGGAGACCCTGAGTTGAGTCAACACCTACATGTGAAAAACATGGTTTGATGTTGCCATTCGGAGACGAACCAGCAAAGCAACAACCGCCAAGGATCTTCCGGGCTCCAGCGCTCCGTAGAAGGACGCTTAAGTTCTTTACAGCTAAGTGGATGATCTACTGATGTTATTGGTGATGGGATCCACTATGCTTCATAAATCATTCCACCTGGCTGAACATGAACATCACTTCTAACAGCAAGCCTGATAAAAGGAACTCCACTGGCAGAATAAACCATGGGGGGGGGGGGGGGGGGGGGGGGGGGGGGATGGAGCCTCACCTCCAGGGCCTGTCTGAGGAAGGTCCTCTTCTCAGCCTTGGCCCACTCTATGCACTCCAGGCAGAGCTCCACCTCCTGACCCGTGGCTGCTTCCATGTCCAGAAACAAGTCCAGCAGAGAGCGGACCAGCCGGGCTGCTTTGGCTTTGGAGATGGAGTTAAGAAAGGGACGCACATACTTCAGAAGGCCTCCGAGCTCTGAGGGGTGGATGTCCAAAGCAGCAGTGATGAGGGTTTCGTTTGTGGTGATGAGAGTGAAAGCAGCTGACTGGATGAGTCAGGGTCAGCCCTGGTTACCTGCAGCCTGGCCCGTCTTGGCCAGTAGCCCGCCCAGCTCCAGGATGCTCTGCTCCTTAACACGAACCGCCTCCTCATCGCAGTCCTGGATGTCCCGCTTCACTGAAACACAAGCACGCGACGCGACGATGTCACCTGCTCTAACACCAAGCACAGGTGTGGAGCCGCTTCCGTCTTCCAGGGCTAACGCTAATGGGTCGCGAGCTTAAACAGCAGAAACATGCTAACAACCAGTGCTAAATAAAGTCAAGCAAAAGAACCGGATAAATTAAAGGTATTTTATTGGGAGCCCGTTACTGTGAAAAAGGGAGTAAACGCTAACAACATTAGCCGTAGGCTAACTGTGACTAGCCGGCTGTCACTAAACTTGGACAAATGAATGAATGAGTGGGAGAGCTAGCGTGGTTAGCCTGTGTGAAGCACTGGCCGGCGCGCGGCTGCTGACTCACGCCTACTGGGAGCAGAGGGAGACGGCTAACGCTGAGCTACAGCTTAGCCTCGATGCTAACTACCACAACCAGCTAGCAGCTCACCCAGTGATGGGGTAAAAAGTGTCGCGCCCGAGCGTTCAGCTACTCTGTCCGTCTCACCCGCCAGTGTCGGTTGTATTTACCTATAGAGTGTAAGATATCGATGGAAGCATTCCGGTCAGTTCCCAGAAGAGACCGTGCTCTCTGAAACTCAGCCACGGCCACGGCTGCCATCTCTCTGCTGCCTGCCTCCGCCAGAGATATCTCTGACCGGTCGGCTTCCGGTTAGGTTGTGTGGGACGATGCTGCCCCCTGCCGGCCTAGTTAGGTACAACTACACCACGGCTGTGGGAAACGTTAGGCTTATTTTTAGCACCCCCTAGTGTCCGTTTTAATGTTCTGTCACAAAACGCAACTCGCTGTGCTCTCAGGTGTGTTTAACACCTTAATCTAACCGATGAAACGACTCATTCATTAGTTTCTACAGGAGCAGTTCATCAGTAAAGCAAATCAGATGTGTTCACGACCTAAAACATGCTGGACTCGTGTCTGAGTGAGCTCCCAGTGCTGACTCCTGTGGTCAGAGCTTCAGCATATAAATGTTTTGTCTCTTCTGAGGCTCCACCATGAAGATAAACACGTTACAATATACATTTTTCAACACATGTATCGTTACAATAAATGCTAACCAGGTGTAGCTCGTCTGGTCTGCCTAACCCCAACCCCGTGTGTACTTTGTGCCATCTAATAAATGTTGACTTGACTACCCACTACAACTATGGGCAGACCAGACCTCGTCACTGCACGCTCATTTTCTAGACTGTTGCACCATTTATTTAGGGAAAGCATTCATGTCATATACCATGTGTTGAAAATACATAGTTTTAAGAAATATATTCATTCTCTCAGCAACTTTACTGCAAATTAGCTGATTTGTGCACATTTTCCAATAAAAAACTAAAAGTTGCTCAGCAGACCTCAAATCTCATCTTGCATCAGTGGATCAACTCACAATCTGACACCTAATGGGATTAGTTAAGCTGCTTGTCCACTTATTCTTTTAAAAAGGTCAAAAATGCAACAATCCACATTTATCTAAAAGGATTTCTAAATAAAAAACATACTTCAAGCAATACTGAAACCTTTTTGTGTTACATGTTACTCTAAAATCACATATTTTATTTAAATTTATTGGGGGGCAGTTTGGCAGCCATCTTTATTTCCAAAGAACCAGTTGTAGACAAACGCCCAGTTAGTGCTTTCTGAGAGTTTAATAAAATCCACCCAGAAGAAAGAACTGCAACCAGATACTTAATATAAAAACTTTTTATTATATACATTGTTCTGCACAAAAACACTAAAGTACAAAACCACCGAGAGTCAAATCCCTCATCTTGAGTCCATGTTTACAAAACGACCGACAGGTAATCACAAACCTAAAAACGCAAAAGAAAAGGGTTTAGATCAACCGAAATCAAAACCATCACAACAGGAGGACTTGAGCTACCAGCAGGACCACGTTCATTTCTCTTCATCAACAACTGTGAATGACCAATCCCCAGCTGGGTTACGACCATGACGTACCTTACAGCTTATAAACAGACCGGGGGAGCGCTCCGCACCAGGTGCTATGGAGAAAACCGGGCTCTGCAGACACGTCTCCCTATGCTCAGACACTCTGGACTCCAGAAGATGCTGCAGAACATCTGGAGTGACGCTCCGCTTCAAGGCACAAGAAAACAGTTCTGGTCAAAACCAAAAATGTAGTTCATCCACTCATCAGGTTCACGGCTGCCGTGATGTTAAAGCTTTTAATGATTCCTCTGAGCAGTTCCTTTTTCAGGGTGGAAAAATCTGGAAAACATTCAACTTTGATTTGAAGATCTTGAAAGTGGCGTTTTCATCAGCTGTAAGCCATAATCGCGATTATAACCAAGTTTGGAAACATGTGGCTTTGCGTGGAGTGAGACCGTCTCGGATTAGTTTCACCTTTTAACTTGGATTAGTAAACAAAATGAGAATCCGCACACTTCAGTCTGCGATGTAGGAGTTTACTGGTCAAGCTTTTGGTCAGACCTTCATCAGGAACCGTCTCTGACCGAAAGCAACTCCTACATCGCAGATTGAAGTGTGCGGATTCTCATTTTGTTGATTCCACTTTTTGATCCAGCACCTTTTCCCCGACGAGCGGCGACTCCTTCTACTCGACTTGGATTAGTGACAAATTAACTTTTGCACCAAATTCTCATTTTTCCTGTTTCACCAGTAAAGACCACAACGAATTCAAACTTGTGTAACACATTCTTGTGTTGAAGATCATTAAAAGTTGTATGTAGTCTAATGATTCCACCTTGGAGAAAAAAAAAGATTCAAACTAGCCCTTAAAGTCCCAAAACAACCGCTAAGAACCGTTTTCTACTTTAATAGTAGGGATGCACCGATGGATCGGCATTTGATCGTAATCGGCCGATAGCGCCCCCTATCGGTTTCGATCGGAGTTTTCAAAATAGATCAAAGCAGACCGATCAGGTAGGGTTGTCACGGTAACCGGTGTAGCGGTAAACCCCGGTAAAAAAGTTGACAATAATAATAACCGTCTTGTTTAAAAAAAACTATATTATCTCGGTGGGTTACCGTGGCTGCGGTGTAGGCGCGGTGACCCTTACCAGCCACCGTATCATCTGCTGAAGTTGCCGGCGGCACAGACGCGCACTTTGTTGTTTACAACCAAAACTTTCTTGAAGCTAAAGCTGAAATAATGGCCAAAGGAGGAGACAGCAGCTCTCAGGAGGACATTTCTTATCCCTCAAAGAAGACAAAGTGGGAAGTACGGGCATATTTTGGATATCTGAAGAATGCCGAGGGACAGTTGATAGAAGATGGCTATCCTGTTTGCAGCACGAGCAGAAAAAGTGTCTGTGAAAGGCAGCAACGCTTCAAATCTCATGACACATCTGCGTGACCATCACCCACAACTCTACAGTCAACGCAAGGCAAGCTAACGTTAGCGTTTTAGCTAAAATGCGTGATCCGAGGATTTGGGTTGAGGGAGAATGCAACGAGTCGCTATATAAAGCAGCCGCAGCGCCGCTACCTGCATATAAACCGTGTCGCGGACACCGCCATGTTGAAATGACGCTATGCATTACGGGGCTCCCAGGGGCAGATAAGAGTTGGTCTCTCTCCGAGAATAATTATGAATTTAACAACGATTACTGCCTGATGACATTTTCCCACATCTGCAAAGCTCACTGGAAGAACACAAACCGAGGACAATATTTTCCTGATATAGGGTTTATTACTCAAGTAAGGGTAAAAAAGTATCTGATTAGAAGGCTACTTGAGTACTGAGTATCATCTGATCTAATATTTTTAAATGATGACATCAAAAAGACATAAAATAAGAAGTTATGGGCAAATATTGGTATTTTAAAGACTAAAGGGGAAAAATGTAAACAAATAAACAACATAATTACAAAATAACACATTTTAGGCTAAATTTAGACACAAACTGAGGACAATACAGGTGCTGGCCAGTAAATTAGAATATCATCAAAAGGTTGAAAATATTTCAGTAATTCCATTCAAAACGTGAAACTTGTACATTATATTCATGCAATGCACACAGACCAATGTATTTCCGATGTTTATTACGTTTAATTTTGATATTTATAGGTGACAACCAATGAAAACATCAAATCTGGTATCTCAGAAAATTAGAATATTCTAAAGGCCAATGAAAAAATGTTTGTTTCTCTAATGTTGGCCAACTGAAAAGAATGAACATGAAAAGAATGTGCATGTATAGCACTCAATACTTAGTCGGGGCTCCTTTTGCCTCAATAACTGCAGTAATGCGGCGTGGCATGGACTCGATCAGTCTGTGGCACTGCTCAGGTGTTATGAGAGCCCAGGTTGCTCTGATAGTCGTCTTCAGCTCCTCTGCATTGTTGGGTCTAGCGTATTGCATCCTCCGCTTCACAATACCCCATAGATTTTCTATGGGGTTAAGGTCAGGCGAGTTTGCTGGCCAATCAAGGACAGGGATACCATGGTCCTTGAACCAGGTGCTGGTGGTTTTGGCACTGTGTGCAGGTGCCAAGTCCTGTTGAAAGGTGAAGTCTGCATCCCCATAAAGTTGGTCAGCAGCAGGAAGCATGAAGTGCTCTAAAACTTCCTGGTAGACGGCTGCATTGACCCTGGACCTCAGGAAACAGAGTGGGCCAACACCGGCAGATGACATGGCACCCCACACCATCACTGACGGTGGAAACTTTACACTGGACCTCATGCAACGTGGATTCTGTGCTTCTCCGCTCTTCCTCCAGACTCTGGGTCCTTGATTTCCAAAGGAAATGCAGAACTTGCTTTCATCAGAAAACATAACTTTGGACCACTCAGCATCAGTCCAGTCCTTTTTGTCCTTGGCCCAGGCGAGACGCTTCTTGCGCTGTTTCTTGTTCAAGAGTGGCTTGACACACGGAATGCGACACCTGAATCCCATGTCTTTCATGAGTCTCCTCGTGGTGGTTCTTGAAGCGCTGACTCCAGCTGCAGTCCACTCTTTGTGGATCTCCCCCACATTTTTGAATGGGTTTGTCGTCACAATTCTCTGCAGGGTGCGGTTATCCCTAGAGCTTGTACACTTTTTTCTACCACATTTTTTCCATCCCTTCGCCTGTCTGTTAATGTGCTTGGACACAGAGCTCTGCGAACAGCCAGCTTCTTTAGCAATCACCTTTTGTGTCTTGCCCTCCTTGTGCAAGGTGTCAATGATTGTCTTTTGGACAGCTGTTAAGTCAGAAGTCTTCCCCATGATTGTGGTGCCTTCAAAACAAGACTGAGGGACCTTTTAAAGGCCTTTGCAGGTGTTTTGAGTAAATCAGCTGATTAGAGTGGCAGCAGGTGTCTTCTATATTCAGCCTTTTCAGAATATTCTAATTTTTTGAGATACCAAATTTGGAGTTTTCATTAGTTGTCACTTATGAATATCAAATTTAAATGTAATGAACATTGGAAATACATTGGTCTGTGTGCATTGCATGAATATAATGTACAAGTTTCACGTTTTGAATGGAATTACTGAAATATTTTCAACCTTTTGATGATATTCTAATTTACTGGCCAGCACCTGTATTTCCTGACATACAGGGTTTATTTAATTGTCTGAAAATGTAGCACATTTAAAAAATACCGCGATAATACCGAAAACCGTGGTAATTTTGGTCACAATAACCGTGAGGTTAAATCTTCACACCGTGACGACCCTAATACAGACCATTTTAGATTAGGTTACATTTCCTTTATCCCCAGATTATGTAGTTTGTAGCACTCATTATAATGTTGTAGAAAATTTCTGGCCAATCCACGTGATCGGTATCGGTGATCGGCAGCAAAAAACCTGATCGGTGCATCCCTATTTAATATGCGTGTTTACATCTTCTACTACCAAATACACTCGTGCTGCACAAACCTTGGTGCTGATGTGAAGTCCACAAGGACAGGAGACAAAACAGCTGTTGATGCTCAAGTTGTTCCTGTAAGATTGACAAGCATGCAAAAAACGTGCATTCTGATTTACCTGTGCAGGTGAGAGCAGACCATTAAACAACTCCTGGTTTGGAAGGTTATGAAGCTTGAGGTAAAGGTAAGGTTGATGCTGAGACTCACGTATGGCATATGGGGCAAATAACGTGCATGTGCTCCATGTCCTCGACCACAGACGACAGGTACTGCTGCTCAAGCTGCAGGTTTCTCTCGTATTCTTGTATTATTGAGATTTCTGCAGGACAGAGCGTGGGCGCTAAAGTAAACAAGCAACTCAGGGTTTCATCTGCATCCAGCTCGGTGGAAAAGGTTTTACCATGAGACATGAGCTCCTGCTGGATCTCATCAAGCACAGCCAACTCGTCATACTCCTGCACAACACCGCCCACCTGCTTGGAGGGAGAAGGAGCAGATCTCCATCACGTTTGGTCATGTGAGACAAAGAGGAGGTGAAGGCTCCGAGAGTGTGGCCGACCTCCTGCATGTTCCGTGGGCCCCGCAGGGACAGTAGCCTCCGGTCCTCAGCCTGCAGGGCCGTCCACTCCTCTTCCATCACCTCATCCACGATGCTGAGGGCTCCGGCGGTGCTCCGCTGCCGGTACCTGTCCACCAGCCTGGACCGGCTGTTCTTCAGCCTGTCCACGCAGCGCTTTGGGAGACAGCAGGACAAACGGAGCGGAGTGACGATGCTAACAACATTAGCGGCTAAGCTAGCCGTCGTGGTTAGTGTTCCTCACTCACCCTGCGGAAGACTTCTCTCCATGGTGGAGTACTTCTTTTATAAAGTAAGCGGTGTCTGAGTTGAGCGTCCATTAAAGAAGTCAAAACAGCTTCAGAAACGTCACATTTCAGCATTTAACCTCTCGTTCCGGAAGTTGGTGTTCATAAAACCGGAAATGAAAAAACGTCATCATTAACGTCGTGCTTTGTGATTTTATATACATATGTGTTGTTATTATGATTATTATTAATTACTATTATTATTATTATTGTTGTTGTTGTTGTTGTTGTTATTACGGTGGCACAGGAGTTAAATGCTCGCCCGTAATCGGAAGGTTGCAGGTTCGAGCCCCACTCAGTCTTTCGCTGTCGTTGTGTCCTTGGGCAAGACACTTAACCCACGTTGCCTGCTGGTGGTGGTCGGAGGGACCGGTGGCGCCTGTGCTCGGCAGCCTCGCCTCTGTCAGTGCGCCCCAGGGCAGCTGTGGCTACATCGTAGCTCATCCCCACCAGTGTGTGAATGTGTGTGTGAATGGGTGAATGACTGATTGTGTTATAAAGCACCTTGAGGGGTTGCAGGACTCTAGTAGGCGCTATATCAAATACAGGCCATTTACCATTTATTATTAACAATATTAATTATGGATCGGGTGGCAGACCGAGGCGGGAGCCTCGGCGGTCCGATCCCCGGACAAGGAAACTGGTTTTTGGGACATGGAACGTCACCTCGCTGGCGGGGATGGAGCAGGAGCTTGTGGCAGAGGTTGAGCGGTACCGGCTAGATATAGTTGGACTCACCTCGACACATAGCATTGGCTCTGGAACCCAAGTCCTTGAGAGGGGTTGGACACTCTACTTTGCTGGAGTTGCTCCGGGTGAGAGGCGGAGGGCTGGGGTTGGCTTTTTGTTAACTCCAAGACTCTCTGCCTGTGTGTTGGGGTTTACCCCGGGGACGAGAGGGTAGCTTCCCTGCGCCTTCGGGTCGAGGAACAGATCCTGACTGTTGTTTGTGCTTATGGGCCAAATATCAGTTCAGAGTACCCACCCTTTTTGGAGTCCCTGGGACGAGTGCTAGATAGTGCTCCATCAGGGGACTCCATTGTCCTGCTGGGGGACTTCAATGCTCACGTAGGCAATGACAGCTTGACCTGGAGGGGTGTGATTGGGAGGAACGGCCCTCCTGATCTGAACTCGAGTGGTGTTTCGTTATTGGACTTCTGTGCAAGTCGCAGTTTGGCCATAATTACCACCATGTCCGAACATAAGGATGCCCATCGGTACACTTGGTACCAGGGCAGCCTAGGTCACAGGTCGATGATAGACTTTGTAGTCGTATCATCTGACCTGCAGCCGTATGTTTTGGACACCCGAGAGAAGAGAGGAGCTGTCAACTGATCACCACCTGGTGGTGAGCTGGATCAGATGGCAGGGGAAGATGCCACGTAAACCTGGCAGACCCAAACGCATAGTGAGGGTCTGCTGGGAACGCCTGGCAGAAGAACCTGTCAAGACGGTCTTCAACTCCCACCTCCGGCAGAGCTTTGACCACGTCCCGAGAGCAGTGGGGGACATTGAGTCAGAGTGGGCCTTGTTCCACTCTGCGATTGTTGTGGCGGCTGTTGCTAGCTGGGGTCGCAAGGTGGCCGGTGCCAGTCGTGGTGGCAACCCCCCACCCGCTGGTGGACACCAGAGGTTCAGGGAGCCATCAGGCTGAAGAAGGAGGCCTACAGGGCGTGGCTGGTCTGTGGGTCTCCGGAGGCAGCAGACGGGTACCGGAGAGCCAAGCGGGGTGCAGCAGTGGCAGTTGCCGAGGCAACATCTCGGGCGTGGGAGGAGTTTGGTGAGGCCATGGAGAAAGACTATCGATCGGCTCCAAAGAGGTTCTGGCAAACTGTCTGGCGTCTCAGGAGAGGAAGACAGCAACTCGCTCACACTGTTTACAGTGGGGATGGGGAGCTGCTGACGTCAACCGGGGCTATAGTCGGACGGTGGAAGGAATACTTTGAGGAGCTCCTCAAACCAGCCTACGCTCATTCCGAGGAGGAGCCAGAGCCGGGAGACCTGGGGATGGACTGTCCAATCTCGGGGGCAAAAGTTGCTGAGGTAGTCAAACAACTACGCAGCGGCGGAGCCCTGGGGCGGATGAGGTTCGTCCTGCGTATCTCAAGGCTATGGATGTTGTAGGGCTGTCGTGGTTGACGTCTCTGCAACATTGCGTGGTCATCGGGGGCAGTTCCTGTGGAGTGGCAGACCGGGGTGGTGGTCCCCATCTTTAAGAAAGGTGACCTGAGGGTGTGTTCCAACTATAGGGGATCACACTCCTCAGCCTCCCTGGAAAGGTCTACTCCAAGGTACTGGAGAGGAGGGTCCGATCGATAGTTGAATCTCAGATTGAGGAGGAGCAATGTGGTTTTCGTCCTGGCCGTGGAACTGTGGACCAGCTCTGTACCCTTGCAAGGGTGATGGAGGGGGCATGGGAGTTTGCCCAACCAATCCACGTGTTTTGTGGACTTGGAGAAGGCTTATGACCGTGTCCCCAGGGGCACCCTGTGGGGGACGCTCCAGGAGTATGGGGTGGGTGGCTTTCTGTTAAGGGCCGTTCAGTCCCTTTACCAGAGGAGCGTGAGTTTGGTCCGCATAGCCGGTAGTAAGTCGGACCTGTTCCCAGTGAGGGTTGGACTCCGCCAGGGCTGCCCTTTGTCACCGGTTCTGTTCATTACCTTTATGGACAGAATTTCTAGGCGCAGCCATGGTGTGTAGTGTGTCGAGTTTGGTGGCAGGAGAATCTCGTCTCTGCTTTTTGCGGATGATGTGGTCCTCCTAGCTTCATCCAGCTCTGACCAGCTTAAAGTGTGGTTATGATTTGCCGACCCAAGCGCAAATGAAGTTTCCAGATTTTTACCCGTCAGACTCTGTGATTGGTGTCACTAAGAAAGTCGGACATCTTGGTCATATCGTCACCGAGGACATGAGAGACGATGATGACACGTGTGGGCAGTGTGGTGTGTTATATGCTTAGGGGAATACACTCGCTCGTAAGTTTGGGTCTTGTTCTGAAAAAGTAAAGATCACCTTGTTGTTCATCGCTGTACGGCCCACCTGTGGACTAATATAACTAATGTAGTATGCTGCAGGTTGCCTACTGAGGAAGCCTAGATGGACGAGTGCAAATGAGACTTTAGTAAATGTGAGGCTGGAGCACCCTACAAGCTGTCTTAATTCATACGTTTATTTGTCTGATCATTCTGAAATGTGAGGGTTAGGGTAAAGTCCAACCAGTTCCTGTGTCAGTGTCATGCGTTACCAGTCAAAGACAAACACTGGCTTAATGGTATTTTTCTTTTTAGATTAGGGAGTTAATATAATCGTCGTCGTCGTCGTCGTCTTCCTCCGCTTATCCGGGTCTGGGTCGCGGGGGCAGCATCCCAATTAGGGAGCTCCAGGCTGTCCTCTCCCCGGCCTTGTCCACCAGCTCCTCCGGCAGGACCCCAAGGCGTTCCCGGACCAGATTGGAGATGTAACCTCTCCAACGTGTCCTGGGTCGACCCAGGGGCCTTCTGCCGGCAGGACATGCCCGAAGAGTTAAAATAATGTATACTTTATTGTTCACCACTGTTATTATTGTTTCTGTTTTAATGATTATTCCTCTCTCGTGCTCCTTTATTATCTTACCTGTAAGATGCTTTTCTACTTCAGGGAACTGGACCAAGAGTTCGTCGTAAAGAATTCTTGACTTATTTCCAGTTCCTAAACTCAACTAAATGAGACGACATGTTTAGCTCACTGAACGTCTTATTTTTGGTTATTGTATTCTGGTCCATTTTCATGGTTAAACGGTAAATGACCTGTATTTGTATAGCGCCTTCTTAGGGTTCTACAACCCCCCAAGGCTCTTCACAACACAATCAATCATTCACACGCTGGTGGTGATGAGCTACGATGTAGCCACAGCTGCCCTGGGGCGCACTGAAAGAGGCGAGGCTGCACTATCGCCACCGGTCCTTCTGAACACCAACAGGCGGGACAGGTTAAGTGCCTTGCCCAAGGACACAACAGCAGTATTCTCTAGTCGGAGTCGGGATCGAACCTGCAACCTTCCGATTACTGGACCGCCCCTCTACCTACCGCTCTTTAGTTTGAGTTATAAATCCTGTGACAGACGTCAGACGGCACCATCACGTGGATTTCATCGATAAAGTAAAATGTGGTCCCGAACCTGAGTTGTTATCTGATGTTTTTCAGTTAAACCTCCTGATGCTGACCTCCGTGACCCGCTCAAGCATGCTCCACACTCAGGATCACCATGGTAACACACTGTGTCCTCCAGAGTAACCAGAGCTGCATCAGGACGCCTGAACAACAGAACCTTTACAGAGTTGGCATCTGTTTAATATCAGTAATTCATCATTTCAGGTCAATTTGGATTCAAATCTTTACTTGAAAACAGAACAAGAAATTAAAATAGTTAACAATAAAATATTAAATAAGTGTAGATCAGTAACTAAACAGTTAGGTCACACCGCTGCCTCTCTGAACATGGTTCTGAACATATTTCACACACACACCATCCTCAGTCTTGCTCCACCTTAGTGACATCACACACATAGTGTTTAAAGTTAGTCGTGTTTAATTTGTTTAGAAATAAATCTTTTAACTTTTTAAACCTGACTCTCTCTCTTTCTTCTTGGTGTTGATACGAAGTGTTGCTCAATCCCTGCAATAAAAAGATCCGATCTTCTGGTTAAATTTACTCAAAGATCCATTAAGGCGATATTTCATATTCTATGGTTTCTAATTAAATGTAAGAACATCTTCTCTACACATTTGGCGAGCCAGCCAGGAGATGCAGACTCCGACGACTTCTCCAGAACACCTGGAACTGAAGTTAAGATGACGTGGGGCATAGTTTTGTAATTTGGATGTTTTGATTTATGGTCGAATCAGGATTCGACAACAAAATAAACACCAACAAAACCACGCCTCGCGTCAGATCTAGAAAGTTCTGATTGGATCAGAAAAAGGAAATGTGTCAGGTGACTTTAGCATTACGTGTGATCAGTCTGGTGTAAATATTTAAAGTTATATTACTTATTAAAATACTATCATAGGATTATAATATCAAGTAATTAATATTCTTATTTCACAGATTGATTGAACATTAGCTTCACATGATTATGTTTATGTTTATGTATTTAACAGACGCTTTTGTCCAAAGCAAATTACAAGTGATAATCGGCATGTTGCCCTTGAGGCTAACAACAACAATAACAACAACAACATGACATCAGTCATGGAGAGGAGGGAACAAGGAGTGGACAGTAGAGAGGGGGGACGGGTGCAGGGAGGGTGCTAGTTTAGAAGATGCTCTTTGAAGAGCAGGGTCTTCAGGAGTTTCTTGAAAATTGAAAAGGAAGCCGCTGTTCTGGTAGTGCTTGGAAGGTCATTCCACATTTGTGGAACGATGCATGAGAAGAGTCTGGATTGTCCTGAGCGTGGTGTAGGCACTGCTAGCCGACCATCCTGTGATGACCGGAGCGGCCGGGCCGAGAAGTTAGCCTTTGCAAGACGATTCAAGTAGATGGGAGCCGTACCATCTCGGACTTTGTATGCTAGTGTTAGCAATTTGAATTTGATGCGTGCTGCTAGCGGTAACCAGTGGAGCTCAATGAACAGAGGGGTGACGTGTGCTCTTTTAGGCTGATTGAAGACCAGACGCGCCACTGCGTTCTGGACCATTTGAAGAGGTCTCACAGTCCAGCCTGGAAGACCAGTTAGAAGGGTGTTGCAGTAGTCGAGGCGGGAGATGACAGTAGATGACACTAGGAGCTGATTATTTGGACTAACAAAGTTATTTGATTATTATTTAATATAGTTCTTGGTTTTCTTTCTTGTGCTGTCCGAGGAAGCAACAGTTTAGATAAGAGCACCGGGCATGACTGGCCTTGGCCCATATCCTGTAGATCAGGTTTGTGTCAGAAACTTGTGTTTCTGCTTGGGCAGAGCAAATAGAGCAGGGCCTTTAGGTCAAAGATGGACAATTCATCACGCTACAGCATTCATGTCCAGAGGGTCTGATCGTGAGAGGTGAGGAGCAACAACCAGGTTGGTGGAAGCTGCAGGTGAGGTCAGCGATGGAGTACAAGCTGGTGGTAAGTGGACTGGTGGGGTGATGGGGAGGCTGTAAAAAATCATATTAAAGGGATTAGGAGTTTTTTATGACGTACCAAAGCTAACGCAAACCTTTTCTGAGGTTTCCTGCAGATGTTCAGATTCTGTATGAATGTAAGACCTTTTATAGAATCACTGATATTAAAATTAAAGGTAGGGACATGAAGACCCTCCAAACACACCACTCAGCTGTATGCTGGAGTGTTGGTGGAGGTGATTGTTGTGGTGCTACATGCTGTTTTTCCTTGTTTTTGTCTTTTATTTCCAACATACCCATCAGTAGACAGCATATAGATCTGTTTAAGATACGATAAGAACAACTTTATTAATCCCGAGGGAGATTGTTGTGTCATGTACGTGCTCAAAGCAGTAGGAGAGACAAAGGAACAGGTGAAACAGACATAAGATATATGATATATACAGTAAAAATAGTGTACAGTAGTATACAATAGGATAGTGCAAGAGAAATACTCAGGTAACAAATAAAATACATGACTGTATCCTGGTGAG